ATAAATCTGGTAACAATAAAAAAAAATGGACTGATGGATATGTTACTGTGTGCAGGTTTGTGGCCAGCTGCAGCTCATCCCAGCCTTTAACAAGGCTTTGTACCACATCATTTTAAATGGTCCGAGTCAGGAAACTGTGCTAGTTTCCAGTTGGAATATAAGTAACGCTCCACCCAAAATGTATCTTTTGAGTATGGCAGACTCCCTCCCTGTGGGCGTAAGTTTGATCCCTTGCTGAGAACACAGGCTGTGGTCAGTTTGTATCCACAGTGGTTACAGTATATTCCAATGGTGACCCAATTTCACAAGAAACTTCTCAGACGACTCCTGCTGTTCTGCTCAGTATGTCCCCAACACCACATATGGTTAACAATACGGCTTACATCTCAGTTCTTACATGCTGCAAGGTAAATAAGATGGTGAATGGACTTATATAGCGCTTATCGTGCACGAAAAGACACATTCACCCATGTACAAACAAATAAAATCATATTACGATTATTTTGGCAGATATTGAGATTACATTATCACTCATTATTTCAGTTGGAATGGTCATTTCTGCATTTAATTTTCACTTACAAAACATTTTTTGCTGGGGTCTTTACCAAACAAGCGTCTGGCGAAGTCTGGAGAGTATAATTTGTAGGCAGGAGGCATCTGGACAGCTAGCACCACAATGCTTCATTTATGGTCCGTTGTGACACATTTTACAATCATCAAGAAAAAATAGCATCTCTTGGGATTTGGATATTTCCCTTGGCCAAAAAAAAAAAAAAAACCCGCTGCACACTACCTGCTCGGCACCAAACTGCAGACAGTCAGAGACCAGCTGGTGAACACTTAACAGCTAAAGAGCCAGCTGTTGCTCCACAACTGCTGGACGTTTGGGCAACTACCGCATTCGTCATATCGACTTAAAACACAATGATCTGTTCCACTGGTCAGCATCAGCAAGTTTGGAAAAGAATTTAACCTCTTAACCTTTGACCTCTGTACAACAGGGACCAGAAGCATCACTATCCGAAGATAAACATATGTATACTCTTGCGTATGGTTCTGTTTTATCTCTGTGGAACTGGGCGCACGTGCATGAGCCTCTTTTTAGCCACAAACAGACGTAAGTTCTCCGTAAATCGCCTGTTCACACTTCAGTACCTCTGTCTGCTAACTGTAGCACTTGTTAGACCTGTCGAGAACGGCAAAAAGAAAAAAAAAAAGAAGTGCAATTTTGCCACATCAGTGAGGTTGTCCAACAATGCAGGAGCAGCTTTCATAACACATGACTATTACCCGCAGACGTGGCTATTTATAGCACCTGTATCATTATTTTATTAAATGTACCTGCGACAGCTCAATCATCATTATTAAACGTCGGAAAGATAATCAATGATTCAAGTTATGGTGCCATTATTAAGGCAGGATTCTACAAGGTGCTTGACAAAGGGGAATAACATGAAAAGATCATTAACACAGGGAAATGAATTGATTCTGAATGAAGCATGTGTACGCTGCTCTAAAGTATTTTCCTTTTATAAATACCAGCTTCTGTGTGGAAATAATCATCTGACCCCAGAAATGTTGCACATAAATAAACTGAATCCCTATCTCAAAAAAAACACAGAATAAGAAAATATTGCAGATTAAATAATTGTTTCTTAGTCTCTCACAGTGGTCTGCAATATCTATGTATACAAGAAAGTCTTTTCGGGCTGTCACACGAGATGCTGAAGGCCGGGGTGATGGCCCTCATTTTCTCCTCACGGGGAAGTCAGGGAGCTAAAAACAGAGGAGCTTAAGTCCTCTGCGCACAGGGCAAAGAATGTGGTTGGAGGTCAACGCAGTTGAACCGTCAAATCCCCGTCCACAAAATATGTAGACATTAAACCCATGATTACACAGTGGGAGAGCATACAAAAATAGACTCTGAGTAGCACGTTCACATAGCACCAAAACCCCGCTTCACCGTCCACGGACACAGCTACAGACTGTTGTTCCGAACACGGGAAGGTCTCTGGGCAGGCGACTGATCGTGGACACAATCTCAACGAAATCTAGAAGGCACTTGAACCAATTCTGAGAATAGATTGCTATTTTTATCTAAAGCATGTAATGACCTGTCCTTATTGCAGAAAAGCATTGAATCCAGCAGCTTCAGATTCCCATTAAAAGGGACAGTAATTCTCAGTGTTCTGCAGCTAGGGATGAAACAGTCCGTGTGCAGTACAGTGTACAAAGAAAAGCTCGTTTAACCTTCAGTTGGACTGTAAGGGGAAAACAGACAGGAAACAAAAACCTGATGACCACTTTAAAAAAAACAAACCACAGACGGAAACAACCACATAGTCACCGGCCCCACCCCCGGAGTGTGCACTTAATGCAAGCTCTCAGCGCAGGGATATAGGGGTCCAAATGTTCTCAGAGTAATCATGTTATTGTTGGCAGCGCTCAGCAGGAGCAGATATGACTTCCATTTGCTGAAGGAGTTGGAGGAGGAGAACGGCGTTGGTAAGAGTGTTGGTCATGCAGCACTGCAGATAATCATAAATGTACTGGCATGACCCGATTACTCATGATCTGGCTGCTTTCTGAATAACGGGTGCCACAGATTAGGAGGTGCGTAATGCACAGAGGCCCTCCGTGAACGAGGATGAGGAAGAGCCGGAGCACGAGCATGTGTAATCTTAGATGGCGAGTGGCCTGGCCTTATCTTCTGCGCGCCGTGTTTGGAGTCAGTAAATATGATTGAAGCACAGGAGGGAATGTCCTGCAGGGGCTCTGTCAAAGGTCAGCAGGGCATGTGTGTCTCTCTCTGGTAGCAGGGGTTTTCTATCATCACTGAGCTCTCTGTTCTGGCTGCTCTCCACCATCCACCCCCCCCACCCCCCACCCCCCCCACCACCCCCCCCTTGGCCATTTTGAAGGATAACAGACCATGTTTGGTTTGTACTGGTACAAAGAGAGGAGACGAGGCCGGAGACAGCCATATCTGGTATCAGACTGTACAAAATGTAATCTTAAATTCATCAGGTGGCTTAAACCCTTTACGACATGTGATCTTTCCACTAATGTAAAAAACACTATAAGCTCTTTAATGTCAAAATTTTGTCCAGGAACAATGTTGCTATGTAACGTATGACCAGACAGATTCAACCCTCGGTTAAAGCTCCTGGCAAACACGATGTGCATTTGTTAAGCATATTACTCGAGTTGAAATGATTAAAAGAAATAATCTGCAATTATTTTGATAATCACTTCAGTCATTGTCCAAGCCAAAACACCAAACATCCCTCAGATCCAGCTGGTAAACTGTGACGATGTCCTGCTTGTCCTCATGTGACAGTAAACTGAATATCTTGAGTTGGTTGGATGAAGAAATTTGATATCATCACCTCGGGCTTNGAAATGATTAAAAGAAATAATCTGCAATTATTTTGATAATTTTAGATTAGATTCAACTGCATTTCGTTGTCTTAGTACGTGTACTCTGTGCAATGACAATAAAGTTGAATCTAATCTAATCTAATCTAGTAAATTGTGATGCACAGTTTTACAGACCAAATAATTCCTCACTTAATCAAGAAAATAATGCCAATTAGCTGCAGCCCTATGTGTTTCCCTAACTTTGTTCGTCTATGTTATATTTCTAACAAAGATCTAGAATCAGGTAGTTTCCTGTTTTTATTTCCAAAAAATATAATATAAAATGTCACCACTGATATGCAACAGTTTCCCAGAGCCATGAAACGCTAAACCATTACATATCACAGTATGTGAAGACATCCCACAATCCAGCTCTGTCAACTGGTCTGCATCTACATTACATTACAATGCTGCAAAGCTGTTCCATTTTAATTTAAATCAGGATTTGGTTCATTTAGGTTGGTGTGCACTGAGCTCAGGGAGAGCACTGTGTTGGTTACAGTCAGGCGGTCGACAGTGAAGAGAAACACCACAGGCAGGCAAGAAGCCAGTATTTATTTTCACCAGTGCCCATGCCCAGTGACTGGCACTTGCCCAGCAACACTCATGCAAAGTGGGGGGTCCCCCCCTCCCTCGGCGGCTGCTGCTGCTACTCCCCCCCCACCACCACCACGACCAGCAAGGCTACTGCTGACTCTCTGAGCACCGTCTCCCATGATCCAGCAATGTCACTTTGACGTCCAGGAGAACTGGACTGACGAGCCCCTTCTTCACTCAGCAGCCAGGTTATTGCATGAAAAGCTGCTGTCAGCACTGCCCTGTTATCTTATTGAGTTAGGAAATAGAGGACGAAGTTGATTTGTGGTTGGAGAGGGGGAAGGAGGAGGGCGGGGGGCGGTGGGGGGTGAATGGGAGAGGGGAAGGGGGAGGAGGGGGGTGGCTGGGTGCATTGACAGAGCAAAAAAAAAAAAAAGGCACAGTTGATGAGAGAGGAGATGAGGGCTTTCAAAAGCTATCCAGGCTGTCATCATGTACACTGAATGCAGCAGATAATGTGTGGGAAGGACCGTGCATGCCACTATACACACTAACACACACACACACACACACACACACACACACACACACACACACACACACACACACACACACACACACACACACACACACACACACACACGATACACATAGGCGACTAGCATAATGGATGCACTTGAACGCCCCACACGTTCGAGGGAAAAATGTAAATACGATTAACATTCACATTGTGACTGCACATAAATCTGCGCAGAGGAAAAAGAGCAGGTTCATGTGGCGGACTGAGTGTGAGCTCGGCGGACTCACAGGCTCAGCGATGAAGGATGTATTGTCTAACGATAGTCGCTGTGCTGGCTGGGGAAAAGCCTTTCTAACATCATGTAGAAAAACCTCGCTTCGTGACTCCGCAGCTCCCTGCGGACGGTCACTTCAAGAACTGCCCGTTTTCACGCACGTAAACGCACAACAGAAACGCATACGCATACACACACATACACACACACACACATTTGTACGGCGAGTAGAAAAAGACCGCCACTAACCTTGGTCGGGTCGCCTCCTGTTATCCACTTGTTACAATGGAAATTAAACACCATGGATCCCCAGTTAAGTTTCCTGGCAGTCGGACAAAAAAAACGCAGCGACCGGGCCGAAGCTGGAGCAGACTGGTGTGTTAAAAGAAAACATAAACAGGTAAACAAACGTGTGGTGAAGTGAAGTGTGTGTTAAAAACGGAGAGCCGCCTGGCTGTTTTCTCAGGGCGCCGTCAGCGAACAACGAGAAAAGGTTGTGTCTTCAAACAGCTGTTTTCCAAAATGGAGTTAGCCGTGTCTGAGCCAATCAGAATCCGCCTGTGGAGGCTCCCACTCCTCTGTGGGCTGGAGCCACCGCCACACTGCACTGTGAACATCAAGCACTCACTTTATACATCTATTTTTTTTTTGTTATTTTATTTTAGCTTTCATGTAGGACAGCTTTATTTAGCCGCACATCAAACCTCCAGACACCCCAGCTGATCAGATTTCCTCGCAGGGAACCCCCAGATGTTTCTCATGTTGGTTTTAGTGCAATTGTTTAACAGTTTACTCTGAGGATGGAGGGCTCATCAGTGATGTACTGTACACTCACCTGACAGTTTATTAGATAACGACACCCAGCAATGGCCGGACTAACCATCCAAAATGTAAAGTTGGACCCAAACTGACTTCTACGATTATTTCCCCAGGAAAAAAGAATCTCTCCTGATAACTGATTAAATGTTTAAGTTGTAATTTCCATGATCGTTTTAAGCAAATAATCACAATCATCAATTGTACTAACTTCTTATTTTATTTTTATTTTTTTGAAGCAAAGTCAACATATTTGTGTTTTTGACTGTGACTCATCTGAATGTGTTCACTTAAGATATGAAGTTTTTGCTCTCTTCTATCTTTTTCTACACTAAACTATTCATTAATTATTAAAGAAAGTAATTGTAAGGAGTGTTAATGATGAAAATAATCACTGGCTGCAACCTTACACGTCTCTTGTGATGGAATAAAACAACTTTTCTGTAGGTTTTAACTGAGATACAGAGAAAAAAAATGGAACCATTAATTTTGACAAGTCATTCCACAAGTCAAGGCCATGTGACACAGGATGGACGACCAATCAGAGCTGATATTGAACTTTAAGTGGTTCAAATTTGTGATTAATCACATTATGCAGACATAAATGACGTAGAGTAAATCTGTTTTTTGGGGGCACTGTGCAGTAGCCTCCTTCATGAAGGTTATAATCTGCATTTTTTGTTGAAACTGCATTAAACTATACTATAATAAACTACATTATACAGAGAGGTATTTGTGTTAGTCAGCCCACCCTCACTGATAAATAACAGGGTGGACAAAATAAAAGAAACACCGTTTTATTATAATGCAACATGGTTCAACAGCACCACAGACGAGCCTACAACAGGACAATAAAGTTGCATCAGCACCTCTTTCAAAACAGTTTCAACACAAAGTGAACATTGTCACCTTCATGAAGGAGGATTTATTGCAGGACTGTTGCATTAGACTGTATTTGTTTTAACAAGGTGTTCCTGATAAACTGCCAGGTGAGTGTAAGAGGCCTCAAACAATACATCACTGATGAAATGAAAAGGTGCTTATATGTGGGGCTCAATTGTCTGACTGTTGGTCAGACAAAATAAACACATATATATACATACGTACATACAACCTTTTGTTTAACAACAGTCGCTGATCTGAAGGTGTTTTCAGAATCATTAAAAACTCTTCTAGCAAAAAACTGTACGATAATTAAACTGAGGTTCAGGCGTAAAATCAGAGGAGAGCTTCTTTAACTGATCTGCCTGTTTTCATTTTCATTTTGTCCTGAACTCCTACTATATGAGTGTACAGCACACAACAGTTGTGTTCACTGAATGAATGTCATGGTAACAGAAAACCAACAATATCCAACAATGTAGGCTGTGTGCAGTTAAAATAAGAGTCAAAATCTCATGAAAGAGACAGAACAAATTAATGAGCTCTGAGTAAGTCTTCCAGATGGCAGCGATCCAGCATCCAACCAGCAGAGTCACATGCCAAAACTATTTTAATCTTGACTGTAAGACACAACTCAACATTGTTTAAAGTACATATAGATACATGTTTTCTTTTAGGAGTATTTTCTAATTTGATGTCTTGCAGTATTTTGAACGAGTTGATTTTAATCCAGTCAAGGTCACCAGAGCTCCGACCTTCATGCCAAGCAAACTAATGACCTAATGAAAATTTAAAGTGTATGGGCTCATCTCATCACACAAAGTTTTCCTAATGTTAACATGCCACATACATGTGGTCCACCCACAGATGCTGAGGAGCACTCGGTTATTCCATCGATAGGATCTGTTATAGTTTCAGAATCATTGCTTTTTTTCGTTGCACAAAAATGTAATAATAACACCAATTTCTCCAGTTGTGGAAATGAACAAAGTATGTTTAAAATCTATATATGGAATTTAAGTAAAGCTGAAGTTTACATGCATTTTAATTTGGATGTACTTTATACTTCAACATGACAATATAAAGGGAATGTTGTATTTTTTTATTCTACTACATAAATGTTATCAACAGTAGTGATGGAAGGAGACGTACTCACATCCTTTACAAGTAAAAGCACCAATACGACAATTTATAAAACTCCTGCATTTAAAGTCCTAAGTGTCAAAAGTTTTTGTTCTGCAGAGAAATTGTCCCTGTGAGTGATATAGCTGTTACATTATTATATTGTTAACACTGATGCATCAATATGTATGTATTACTGTTGTTGCTGGAGCAGGTGGAGCTAGTTTTAACTAATGTGTACACTGCTAGTTCAGTCCAGTCCCCTCTAAAGTATCTGAGTGGCCACGGGATGAATTAAATTAAACGATTAAATGAGAAGAAAAACAAAGTTTAGCTAAACAAATGTGTTTCTATGTTGTTGTTTTGTTCAGTTTTCTGAAATATTGGATCATTTTATCTCTTTGGGTCTCAAACTGTTGTTTAAATGAAACTATCTGCGGAGTTTAGAGGACAAATGTGTCTGTGATGGAACAACAAACACCCAAAACATCTGAATTGTATCAATGGGTTCCAGTTTTACAAGAGGTCATAAGCCAACAACTGGTTGGCAGAACCTTTTTAGTATTTAACAATGCATTGTTTTGTTTTTTTATAACCTTAACATATGTTCCTTTTATTGAAATGATCAATGTGAAAAGTCACTGAAGCTGCCAAAACATATGAGTGAAAAGTATATTTCCCTCTGAATCTGGTTGAGTTTAAGTTTAAAGTATCAAAGTACATGAGTTATTATATTTCCTTACATTCCCCAGATGCCTGACACCTATCATTACTATTTTTTTGCAGATTACGATTTTACAAATCATATAATTTTATAAAATGATACATTGCTATAGATTCAACAGTAATGTTAATGTATAGTAACATTAATAACTAAACTTTGCTCCACTTTAACAAGCTGCAACCTTAATGTTAATGCTTCTGTAATAGTTTATATATTGACATAATCAGAAAGGGCATAAGAAGTACTTTTATATTAAAGCACATTACGCTTTTATGACTTCTACTTTGAGTACTTTTACACTGTGGTATTACTACTGAAGTAAAAAGTCAGTACTTCTTCCACCACATGTATTCCTGAAGTCTCTGGGGGCCCATGAGCCCAGTTTGGGAAACGCTGTTCAAGTCAGCTGCAATTATGTTGTGAAAATACCCACAACTTCCCCAGAGCCTGCAGCAAACCACCATCCCCTGCCAACAACAGCATCCGCAGCACAAACAAAGACACAAATAGCACTTTTATCAGTTTGAGTTTTACTTTACTGTCTATGCTACCAACAATAAATTTTCTACAACACAATACAGCTTATAGTCACAGACATGCTTCAAATAAAAATATAAAAGACTGACCAAAACGATTCAAGTTAGCTTCAGGCTATACCACATGAAAACAGATCCAATATTATTGCACATTTCTGTACATGGCCTGGTGTAAAATTTGGCAAACCAGATGTGTATAGAGTCAGGACTGAATGTTCTTTCCCCCAATGTGACTCCTGTGATCAGTAATGGCCCTGTGTTAAGACTGCGTGATGAAACACAGGCAAACAGGTCAAAAAAGGTTAACCAAAAAAACATAAGGCAGATTATCTGAACTTAGAAAAATAATCCTCTTCAAGCGAGAGAAAACTAAAGCATCAGCTAAACAAAGGCCCTCAGATTCTGTGTATGAGTTAGATACTGAACAAAAACATTTACTGGTAAATCTATGACATTACTATTTCTCCATCTACTTCCACTTAACTAACAATCAAGAACATCCAGCCTTATGTAAAACAAGCCCTGATGAAAATAAAAACAAATATTGCTTTGGTACACACACATCCAACATGACTTATGATGCTTCCCTAGGAGGATCTACTGATTAACAACAGTTTAAGGCAATGCATTAGATGGTTAGCAGCACAAAAACTGTCTCCATTTTTTATTTTTATCAGTTGAGGGGTGACGTAACCATGCAGACAGAGCACTAATGGCCAGTCTATAACTGCCTGTTTGCAGATGCTAAACAAACTGAGGAGATGTGAGATTGAGAAGCTGTTTTTAGAATTCTGCCTCAGTTGAAAACATTAATGGATAGGTTCACATTTTTGTCTGTCATGTCTGTCCTGAAACAGCACTCATGCCCATTTTGTACATTAAAACACTTTTTTTTTTGCTTGCTATAAGACCGATAAGAGATCCCCCTTCTAATGTGCTCCCAGTGGGATAGACGGGGGACAAAATCCACAGTCCACATTGCAAAAATGCATTTCCGCTCAGTAGTTCAGCTGAAGCTAATATGAGGTTTCTGCAGTCTCAAAAATAAGTGTTTTTAGTTCCAAATCCCCTCTTTGTGTTTGCCTGGAGAGCGTGTCTGTGCCGAGCTGGTGAACAGCTAAGAACATAAATAAGGAATCTTGTACTACAAAGACAGTAACCTTTGTGGAAGCCCATTTAATTTGGCTGACTGGTGCTGAGGCCTCATAACAGCTTCAGCTAAAAACATTTTTGTCCCCCGTCTCTTCCACTGGAAGCACATTAGGAAGATAGTATGAACAGGAGGAATGTTTACATCAAGCAAAACCTCGTTCAATGTACATATGAGCACCTGACTTTTACTGCAAATACTGTAAATAAATTCAAGTCCACCAATTATGTTTAAACATGCATCGGCTCATGTCTGAAGCCTCTTTGCCTGAGTCTGCAGCTGCCTTCGAACCATGATTGAATGCTGGGCTATGTGTAAATTAGATAAGACAGATCTGCCTAACATAGTGCTGCTTTGTTAGTAAAATAAATCATGTATAATATTGGCAACTTGCCCTGTAAAAGTCTACACATATGTTTCAAATGAAACAGGAAATGTCCTCTCAGTGATGGGAGTCTACACGTCTACGGTGTGCATCAGTAACAGTAGTAAAGTTGGGAGCGCAGCCCCCTGAAGCTGTCGTCGTCCTGCCCACTGCCCTGCTCTCCGTCAAACAGCATGGAGTCTGGGAGCACCACGCCCTCTAGTGGATCTGGCTGGCAAAACTCCACTATGAACTCCTCCTCGCAGTCCAGCAGCAATCTCGACCACGCGCACATGTCCAGCTGGCCCGCGGTCCCCCCATACTCCTCTGGCAGGACAGACCGGGGGATGTTCCGGTGCAGGGAGCGCAGGTCTGAGCCATGGAGGATGTACTGTTCGAGGAGACAGCAAACACACCACGCCAGCTTCATGAAATGGAAGGTGACACTTGATAATGAATTATCACCCAACTCTGCAGTTCCTCAGCTCTACTGAGCTTTAAAGCTTCCTTCAGCTCTTTGTTTTGGTTTTACAGCCACCTACTTTACTGTTGGTTCACTCACTAACCATTAGCATTAGCAGATAGCTTGTGAACATACTGGAGCAGCTAGCAGCTAAAGAGCCAGATATTTCACTCAGGAGGTGTTGGAGCTCAAACCAGAGCTAAAAGTAAAGTGAATGTTGAACTTAAACTTACCAAATGGCCAGAAACACAACTCTAAATGAATGCTAATGTTGCTCGGCATGATAACAAGTTTGCCTTACCAACTTAAAAGGTGATAACATGTCACTGTTGTGTTTACAGCTTGTTTCTGTTAAACCCAAATTAAGAAAAGAGTCAGTTATTGCATTTTTAAATGAACAAAGCAATCCCTTTTGTGTCATTTTAGAAAATATGGGGTTGGTGTTTCTGTTGGTTCTTTCCCCTGAAAAGAAAACGCTTGGCCTTCCATTTTCCACAGATGCAAATAGACTATTATTTTGGAGCACTGGCTGAGGATAAAAGGGAGGCACACGATTCAAAACAAGCCTTTGTTTAAAACAAAAGAGTCAGAGACAATTCCAGGACAATAGTTACCCTCTCTGCCATCTTCTCCTTCAGAAACGGCTTAATTATAGCAAAGATGCCTTTGAAAATCCTGGGCTCGTTAATTATGTTAACGGCCTTGATTCTGATTGGAAACCCATCCTGTGAATTAGAACAGAAAAGTGCATTCAGAACAGTCACAGCTGGTCCTTTTAAAGCGTTTTCACGTGTGTTTTGTGTGCTCATGTAAATATTACACACTCTGACATCACGACGAAACTCAACAGGCAATGCTGAAGAGCCATTGTTGTAAATGACAATGTTTTTTCTTGTGTCATATTTACTGCTGTGTCATTAAAAAATAAAATAACATTTTGAGTAAATGCTACGTTTGCATTCAAGTAAAAAAGTAGTTTTTGCCAACTTAAATATATATATATATATATATATTAAATTCAAACTGATCATATGACGTTATATTTCTGTCAGACAATACAGATGCTCTTTATCATCAGATGTTAAGAGTTCTTACCTGGAGGATGCTCACAACTTTTTTGGCAAGAAACGGGCCTGGATTGGAGGCTTGTGACATCCCCACTCCGGTGTAGTCGGCTAAGATGACGATACCGTTCACCTGTGTCTCCTCTGGCTGGATGAGCTTCTCCAGAGTCAGATATATGGCTCTCACATTGTCAACAAATGGATAATCATTTGGTTTCCATTTTCCTGTAAAAGAAGATTGAGCTGAGTAATTGCAAAACATGACTAAAGCACATACTGGAAGAACTGTCAGTAACTGGCAATTAGTCATAGAGAGAATTCAAAAAATGAACTCCATGGAGTAACGTTACAGCTGAATTGAAAACAATAATTACAGAATGGTTGAGTCATTGCAAAATTCTTCAATGAAAATGAAGCAAACGCCAACCTGGCCGGAGACAGAGGATGTATCTTCCGTTGGGGTCCGGCTGTGGCAGCACCGTGAGAAAGCCCAGGTCCAGGACGTGCTTCACCGTGGATGGCTTCAGGTCCTGGAAGACCTCAGGCCAGGCTTTACGGCCTGCGTGGTAATTGAGCAGCAGCTGCAGGGCACGGTCGTAGTCAAACTTCCTGGCCCGCAGGAAGCGTAGGAGGAAGGCGTCGTCTAGCCTCGTTCTGAGATTGGGCTGTTCCTGCAGGTGGAAAATCAAGACTTCATTGAATACATTGCTGGTAACATGACACAAACTAGGACAACACAAGTTGGCATGCGATCAAACAATATAAAACATGACAAAATAATGGCAATATTATTAAGAACCAGACCGGTCGAGGCAGACGGCCGCCCACACGGAGTCCGGTTCTGTTGGACATTTCTTCCCGTTAAATGGGAGTTTTTCCCCCAAGTGCTGCTCATTATGGGAACTGTTGGGTTTCTCTCTATAATAAAGAAAGGTCTTGACCTTACCCTGTCAAGTGCCTTGAGATAATGTTTGTTATGATTTGGTGCTATACCAATAAAATTGAAATAGAAAGAAGTGAAATGAGCCATTCATTAATCAGTAGAATCAAAATGATTTAATACACTATATGAATATAGAGTCAAGTGGCTTTAAAAGCAGAAGTCTGGAGATATTCTATATTTTTCTTACTTCTTATTGTGTATCCAACCTGATTATCTTCTTCTCATCTCCAACCTGAGCAGGCACCTGTGTCAGTGTACAGGGCCTTTAATTTATAATAATGCATCATATTTTATAAACTGATCATATGTTTTTTATGATAAATTCAACAATCGTTATAAGTGAGGTTGTCAAATAAATGTGGTCTGGTAAATAGGTCAATGCATGCACTAAGCATTCAATGCCAACTTTCATTACTTTAAATTCATTATTCATTTTTGGGGGATATAGGGACAAAGTCCACTAATTTCCTGGATTTTTTCTACCAAGATGATCTGTCCTCCTTTAAATGTTACCGACATATCCAGCACAGTTTTCCTGTAAGCAGGAATGATACTGTTTATGCTTATAAAAATCTCAATAAGGCAAAAAAGCACTAAACAAAACCTTCAATATCATGTCTCTCAGTGCTTGTACATCCCGGAGACGCCACTCTGGTTTCTCCTGGAGCTCCTCCCGTGCCTTGGCCACCAGTTCAGGGGTCAGGGTGCAGGAATACATGGGCGGAGGGGGTCCTGGGAACCAGCTGTGTCCTGCAGCTGCTGATGGGTCCACTGGAGGAGACCTGAGATCGATGGACTCATGCTGATCGGCCATGGACTGACTGAGACTGACAGCAACACACAAGAGACATCAGAGACGCTGTGTAAACACTAAAGCTTAGACAGAACTAAGTAAAACTCATGCATTCAACATAAGTTAAAGTACAGATGTACTAAACTCAAAATATACTTGAAGAAAAAAAGAAAAGTACTCATTAAAGGGGACAGCTCAAAATAATATGCAGCACTGTGCAAAGGTTTTAGGCACTTTCACAACTACAGTTCTCCTAAATGGTTACTTTATATCTTCTGCGTTAAGTGTCCATTAGTGTGTCAACAGGAAATATCATATTTTAGATTTCCAAACATGACTTCTGCAAATGTGAAATATTCCAGTGAGACATTTATATGCTGTTAAAGAAAATAACAGACAGACCATTCTCGAGTTAAAAACTGGAAAAGGGTATTTGTAGGGATATAGCCCAGTACATGGTTAAACTATTGTATCAAACAGGTACTAATGAACAACAACATAACAAGTAGGTTGAACCAAAATCAGTAACATGAAGAGACAGAAGATGCTGAAACAGCCTGAATCCACAGAAGAACTGTGGCAAGTTCTCCAAGATGCTGGAACAACCTCTATGACAAAAAGCTGTGTGTAAGTTTACCAAGGAGGGCTGGTGAAGTTTTAAAGGGAAAGGGAGGTCACATCACCTTACATTACATTAGCTTTTTTCACAGTAGTGGTTTCTAATTATTGACACATGAATTTGTAAGCATGACTGATGTTGCAGCTGGTAAAGGTGGGACTAACTACTTTATATAATGCTGAGTAGCTTAATTTATAATAATACATTATGTATGTATGTATGTATGTATGTATGCATGTATGTATGTATGTATTAACAATCTGAATCTGTGAAGTCACTAAAGCTGTCAGATAAATGCAATGGAGTTGAAAGTACATTATTTGCCTCCAAAATGTTGTGGAGTAGACATGGCTGGATTTGTTAGAAATTTGCACCAGTGAAGTAAAATATCAACTCTGATGGATCGTCCAGCCTGTGGGCCCGGTTTTGAAAAGGGACTTTGTCTCCAGTTCATACTGCCTTCATTTCTTATAAAGTTTGTTTAATCAAACAAACTTTTCAAATTTCATTTTTTTCTGTGTCAAGTAATTAACTCACAGGAAACCTCAGGTATGGTGGTATTGTGCTACTCTGTCCTACTTTAAATGTTACTAGTATATACAGTACAGTTTTCCTTTGAGCAAGAATGAGACTGTTTGTTTATATGAATGTCCATATGGCAGAAAAGCACAAAACAAAATCCCAAAACCCATAGAGAACCTCGGGTAGGGTAGTATTATTCCATCACAGTCTAACTGTTAAGCTGCAACCAACAATTATTTTCATTATCATTACCTCTGACAATATTTTTTTAATAATCAACTGTGTATAAAAATTACAATCATTATTCCCTGAGATGTAGTTGCTTTGTTTTGTCAAAAGCCTCAAAAGTTCAATCATAGAAAACCAAGAAACCTAGACAAGAAACTTAAACATCTGTCAATCTACTGATCGATTATTACATTAACAATTTGAACTCTAGAGTACTGGTTGGTTTCTGGGTATCCGGGAATGATGAAACTCCCATGTGTAGGGGGGTCCATAGGGGTCCAACAACAAATTTTTGCCCTAGGATCCCCAAGGAGAATAATCTGGCAACACAAAAATACTGTAGTATAGTTCAAGCTCCTCAAAACTGTACCTTAGGAAAGTGTTGAAGTAAATGCACTTAGTTACATTCCACCACTGCATAGTTTACATCCATTAATACCACATTACCTGAAATGGTCAACAGATATTGGACGTAAAACGTTCCCTAAAGCGGGGAGAGTATGAGAATTACCTACAAAACCACAGCAGCGTTAACAAGCTCACTGTTTGCGTTTACTCAGCAGTGAGTCAGTCTGGATATTTCAACCTGACCCTCAACATAACCGCTGCGACAGAACCAAACTCAGAATGATGACTGAATACCAACCCGGAAATGCGTTTAGCAGGAACCTTCTAGGACAGAGGTAGACGCCTTTTATGAGCATCCATTGGCAAACGATAAAAATGCTTAAAAAACTGCCGCAACGACCAAGAACCACAGCGATAAAAAAAATCACAGCCGAACCTGTCAGGAAAATTCCTTTTCCGGGTAGAGAAATGACGCTCTCTCATTGGTCCATTTGAAACACGTGGTGCGCTATGATGGAGGTGAGCGTGTGTTGTTTTGAGGCTGTGATGCCTTCACTAAAACTGGGGAAGTAGCAAAACACGATATATAGCATACTCAAAATCAAATTAGTATTGACAAAAATTGTTTTTCATGGCTGTTTTTACTTCAAAAACTAGGTCTCCAAAACTGTTTATTTCACAAATGACCAATTAACGTGCCACAATTTTACTTGCTAACACACGCTTACACATCAAAGTTTACAATTTGTCAAATTATCTCTCACGTCTTCAATGCACCTGAATCTCACATCTTCTAAACCAGCATAGATAGAATTTCCGCACTTCTTCAAGTTTTATTAATTACTGATATGCATCAGGCCTGTATTTACCACAACACGTTTGCTTGAGTAGAAGAACTAACAACGATATGAACATACTCCAGTGCAAGTAAAAGGCATGAACTCAAAATCCTACTTAGGTAAATGTACAGAAGTATTATAAACAAAATGTAGTTTTGTTTATAATACTTCTGTAAAGTAAATTAAAAGCACTCGTTCTGCACTAAGATGTCCTCTGTGCCTGATATATTATTAGATTGTTTACACCAATGTGTAAACGGCATTTTACTGTTTTACTGTAGCTGGTTGATTTGGAGCTAGTTTGAATTACTTCATATAAAGTTAGGTATTTTAGCCTAGTCCATCAACTGCAACAATCGCTCACTGCTAACAACTCATACATCTGAAACATGACAAGAGGCCCTGACTAGATACTGATTTTTAATAATAGGTCACAAGCCAACAAACTTGGGACATCTGGTTCATGTTTTTATGTCGAATTTTAATCTAGGAAGTAATTATTAACTACAATATAACGGAAGTACAACATTTCCCTCTGAAATTCAGTGAAATAGGCTATAGGTAAAAAGTAGCAGAAAATGGAAATGCTTGAGAGAAGTACTTTTTGAGTAAATCTACTTTCCATCCCTGGCTGTGAAAAGGTATGTGTATATCTGCATGCAGTTTTTATATTTCCTGCACAAGTTATATTTATTGTTTTGTAAATCTTTATATTGGTAAAGCAGTTAAACTATCAGAGGCTTTATGTGGCCTGAATTTCTTTTTCACATTTCTCCTGGACAGATTTGATGTATCAGTTACACTTGGAAGCAGCAGATGGCAGAGTTTGCCTGCATCTTACACACCTGCAGGCTGCAGCCCAGTCACTGTAGGCTACATGTCGTGTCATTATCTGTCAGTTATGTTACTTCAAATCTGAAAATGTTAAAATATCAGCAGTTAAAAATAATGTATCTAACTGACAGCTTCATATTTATGTAAGTGTTTGGTGTTTTGGTGAAGAAAAAAAAACTTTATTTGGATATCTTTAGGGGTGACCTTCATGCCTGAGGCCTCCACTTGCGTCAAACCACTGTAAAGGTCTAGTTAAGTCTGAATGCAGCACATTGGCATTAGCTATGAGTTTTTCCATACAGAATAGAAAACTGTCTTTCAAGTTTTTTTCCTTTCTCTCTCTCTCTGTTTTGAATCAGTGCTATCTATAATGATTTTATGGCAGTTTATCATTCTGAAGTAACATGATGCAATAGGCTATCAGTGAACAAGCAGCACTGCCACGTTGGACCCATTTTTTTTCTTCCAGAGACTTTCCAACATGTCTGATGTCTTTTTTTTTAAGTTTCACCATTTGTTATTTGAAAATGTGTAATCTCATTCATTCCTCTGTAAACTCTTCTCTCATAATTATAGATAGTATAAAATATGATCTGCAGAAAATGTAAAAATAGATCTTGAGATTTATTCATTCATGTTCACATTGTAAGGCGAAACATTGCCTGTTTTTGAAAGGCAGTACAGGTTACAAGGCACAATTTATTCCATCAGTTAAACCATGACAAAGTACTAAACAAAAAATATAATATATGTTTTTTAAAAACCAATACAACATATTATTGGGAAACTTCCTCAGTGTGTTTGCCTGTGACTTTTACAAAGTGGCACCACAGAGCTCACCAAGATTTCTTGGTGTAAAATTTTAACATGTTACATTTTACTACTGTAAATATGCATTTTCCAGCATATAAAACAATTTTAGTCACAGAATATTACAGAGACCCCTCAAAACAGCTGAACTCATTCAAGGAATTTCCTTTAGCTTTGATAAATGACATTTTCTGAGTTCATGACTGAAACCATTTTATCAATAATGAACATAAAACAAAATACTGTGCAACACTAAATACATTGTAAGGCCTTTTGTAACATTCATAAAGTACTGACATGATCACATCACCATGTCTAACAAAAGCCTTACTGCACACACTGAGGCCATGCTAAAGGAAATGACATTACCCAATACTAAACTATATATACAATAATGTACGTCGATCTTACAGAACAACAGTTTGCCTGGAAAGTTTCAACTCTTTTCAACTTGTTGAAAGTTTTGTCTGGCTTTCGCCGAGCTGTGGAGCTCAGCTGCAGCTGCTGGTGTGAATGAACAGACCACTGAAGACTCAGACTAGAAATCTCCAAGGGACATAATTGCAATTACATTCTATGTGTTTAGCTACTTTATTGTTTCAGTCAAGTTTACAGCTTCAATTGCTGATTGTGTATAAACTTACATACAAATATTCTGGTTTAACACAATAAAAAAAAAACTGAAGGAATAAGGATTCAGAGGGTTGCTAGATGGCCTCTTGCTTTGTAATGGTAGGCTGAGGGATGGAGGTCGGCTGCTTGGGCACGGTGGCTATGACCCCCTGAGCCATTTTGTAATGTTCTGAGCTGGAGGCAGTGGGCGGAGATGGGATTGGGGTTTCAGGAGTGGCTGAAAAGTAGAACACAAAGGAACAGGAGCGAGTCAGAGGGAGAAACTGCAGCATAAGCAGGTGTATATTTACCATTGTGTGGTATAACATGTCCTGGGGCAAAACAATTTTTAAGATAAGGAATAAGCACTTTTGTGAAATTTCTCAGAGCATTAAACATGTTAAGAAAGAATAACAGAAGTTCTCTTTGACAAAATAAGCCAGATTAGTTTCCATGAAGAACTTAGAGGATTATTTTGCCAAGCCTGTTTTCGCTTCCAGCTACCAGAGTGCACACAAGCTGTGTGAGGAAAATCTGATGGTCAAAATATACAAAATATCAGTTGGCTTAAATGACTGCCTCTGATCAAGAAGCTGGGCTGCACAAGAACATCTGCTGCAGAGAATGATACAACATTTGTGCCATACATTTAAGGACATTTTGTTTCATGTGTTTAATACTTACAGATTTGACCGTTATGGATCGGCGTTGGCATGGTGCTGGCCACTATAACATTGCTGCTGAGGTGCTCTTGAACCAGGTGAGGGTGCAGAGAGTGAGGTGCATGTGGAGCTTCACTGGCAGAACCTGAGAGACAAAACACACAAACATAGTCAGGGTTAATTTACTAAAGCATATCTGACTGCCACAGTCCTCTCTGTTGTTTATATTGTTAAAGGTCCCATATTGTAGAAAGCGAGACGCCCATGTCTAAAGTATCAAAGTGTACAATCACAATGTGTGCAGACAAAATACACAGAAACTGAGCCTTAAAATGAGCTGTCAGGACTTCTGTAACTTTGTGATGTCACAACAAAACAGTCACCGCTCCCTGCCATGTTCCCAGTGCAGCCTGCCTTGACCCACCATCCTCCAAAACTCCAGGGAGAAGCCCGAAAGAGGAGATGCAAAACTAAACTGAGATGGTTTTTGGTACTTTAAACCACAAATATTTTTTCTTATGGATATCAACGCTTCAAATAAAACACCAGAAAAGTGAGGAACATGGGACCTTTAATACACATGGATTCTGTGTGTTGACTCAAAGTCACATTCTGTTCAGGTTGGTTACAAATAATCTGAATGAACTCACCTCCAAGAAGCATTTCTTGTAGCAGGTTGTCGATCTTGGCCATGCCAAAGAGTTTGACAAACTGGATCTGTTCAATCATTTGCCAGGTGATGCTCTGTAGCGTCGGCAGCAGCAGAAGCAGCTCCCCGAAGCGCCCCCGAGAGTCGTACTGCCTGTCGTTGATGTAGTCCTCCAGGCTGACCTGGACCTGGTATCGCATCCGTTTGATCTTCACGGGGTCGCTCAGACCTTTCGCATCTGTGGGCAAATAAAAGCAGGGGGTGTTTACAAAAAGAGGTCTGTTGTAACTGTTCATCTGTATGAAGTATCTAGAATACTGTGTTCATATGCCCCAGTTTTTTTTTTTGGCTTGAGTAGAATCTTACGTTGTTCAGTAGTAGTACCTGGGTCAAAGAAAACTATGGCTTTCAAGCAGGCATATTCATTGTCATCTATCTGAAGCTCCTGGAAGGGAAGCACCAGCTCATCCAGGATCCTCACTGCTACCCTGCCCACCTCCAGCTCTGGGCAGTTTCTAGGAATGATGTGGTCATTTCCTGCAGGAGAAAATGAAAACATTAGATTCAAATTTCTTCCTGGATGAGACAATTCTGTAGTTTTTTTGTTTTTTTTTTACAGAATTGGGCAATGAGTATTGACAATATGAGTGTGGTCAAATACTTCATGTGTCAGTTTTACCTAATAAGAGGATATCTTTGTACAGCATGGACCTCTTTGCAGCACCAAGCAGGAGATGCTCTCCAGCGTGAGCTCGCAGCAACGCCACCTGAAACACAATGAATTCATCTACTTATTAGCTGTGCGATAATAACTCTCCCTTGTGTCGGTATCATGTCAACTGAAGCTTGGGGTGTAAACTGAAGCTTCAAAGAGAGAGAGCATAAAAAATAGCCTGGTGGAAGACACTGTTATAACATCAGCAAATCAGTTACTAAGGCCTGGTGATCACACTGTTAATGATTCTGCATTTTTTTTCCAAGGAGGGATATAACTTTAAAACTAGCTCATCATATTTAACTCAGGATTAAAATACATTAACCACTGTGGTTGAAGAGTTAAGGTTTAGGGTGATTAACAAAACCTGGTGGTCATCAGAGATTTGAATAATTTATCTTTTTTCCAGAGTATTTTTAATTATTTAGGAAGCACATATTCAGTGAGTCTATACCTGTTTGCTCCTGTAGCCCACACCATGGTTTTGAGTGGGCTGGTTGATGAGTGACCAGAGTGTCTATACAACTATGTACACTGTGTCTGTGTATGAGTCTTACCTGGTCATCCAGGGGCAGGTCACAGAAGGCTGGGATGTACTTGGCCCACTCCACCAACACCAACAGCTGTTGTTTCATGGACTCGCACACATCTGTGATGGTGGCGATCTTTTTGGTCCTTATGTCGCCATTCAGTATGGGAGCAGGGGAGGTGATCTACACAAGGCAATAGAGATGTGTGTGAAATCACTTGATGTCTTAATACAGGTGATTAATAGCGGTGAGATGTGAGTCCCAAAGATGATTGAGTACCTGTCTTGACAGCACGTCTGCCTGGATGAGTGCATTGATGGATGGTAAACTGCTGTCTTCATAGCTGGATCTCCTGGTGCTGATTCTGTCTCTTTCATTCTGCACAGCTAAAACCAAAACACATATTTTTATTCACTTGGTAGTTGCAGAAGGAAAATGTGCAATTTCCATGCAGTGAAGTCAATTCAAAATGCAGGAAAACAGTGAAAAATGTTACATTTCCACCGTTTCTTTGTTCGGCAGAAATCGGACACTGAATCATTTAAAAGAAAAATAAGTCCTCCAGGGTTGTCATGTTTATCAGTATATGGCTATTATTGCTCAGAACTGTTTGCTCAGCATAAGCTGGTCAGAGACTTCAGCGCTCTTCGGAGTGAACATTAACAAAGTGCTACTCTCCTGGGTATTGCAACACATCCAGACGAGTTGTGTCGATTCATTAGACGCAGCTCAGACTGTGGCTGTGATTTGCTGATTTAATGGGAAATTCTGTTTTGTTTTTGGTTTTTTTCAGTAGAGATATTGCTAGAACCACCAGTGCTTTCATTAAAAAAAAAAACATATATATTGAGATTATAGATTGTGTCGGTTTGCTGTGAAGAGATAGACGTCTCCTACCTTCTTTCTTCATGCCAGCTCTGAAGCACTTCTTCAGTCTGCAGTATCTGCATTGATTTCGCTTGTCTTTGTCCACAATGCACTGTCTGTTGAACCTGGGAAGTGAATGGAATAAGTTTGTGCTCTCATAGATTCAAAAAAGAAACTTAAACAAGTGAAGTCATTAGAACTCAAATGGTCGGTCAATTAATTGATTCGTCACTGAACAGAAAATTAATCCAAAACTATTTTGATAATCAAAAAACAGTTTCCAGCTTTTTGAATGTGAGGATTTGATGCTTTTCTTTGACATATACAACAGTAAACTGTATATCTTTGGATTTTGGACTGTTGGTTGGACAAAACAAGAGATTAGGAGGGCTGTGGGAAATCATAACAGGCATTTTTTTCTACTATGCTACTATTTTCTGATATCGTATAGACAAAAAGATTAATCGATTAATCAAGAAAATAATTGCTAGATGAATCAAAAATCAAAGCCTGCAACCTGGGAAGCAATTAGGATTTAATGATTTACTAAAACACATTTTTCTCTGTCTCTCTTTCCCTCTCACAAACACAGTTGGGCTCCAGCTTCACAGGAAAGGTTAAATGCGTAAGGCTTTGCTTCACTGTCACATCAGCAGCAGTGGAAAAGTAAGGTAATTCTCCTTCTTCAATCATAGATCTGTCCTCACCTGCAGGAGTACATGTGGTTTTTGCGGACGCTGCGTCTGAAGAAGCCCTTGCAGCCGTCACAGCTGGAGGCGCCATAGTGTTTGCCAGTGGCTCTGTCTCCACATATGGCACACAGGCTGCCTGCTGCCAGGTGGCCGGTGGCGTTCATGTTGGCACTTTCTGCCGGTGAGGAGTCTGACACAAGAAAGAGAAGAGAGAAAAGAGACATTTCATCAGGCTTCTAGGTCGTCAGTTTTAGACTTGTGACATGGGTGACCTGAAACCAGGGGAGATGTGCTTTTATAAAAGCCAAAAAATCTCCAAATCTGATATTGGACAGGCATCAAGAAATATGTTTGATCACCAGCTCAGAGGCTGTTTAATAGTGTTTCTACTTGACAAATTGTCAAGACGGTTTATTTTAAGAAGGTGTGAATGGCCGGAGTGAATACAGTGATCAGCTTCACTGACGGCTGATCAAAACCGGCCGTCATGAGAACCTGCCTGAGTAGCTCAGACAGAGTCAACAGAGCACAATTGATGTGGGTTTGATTACCTCTGAAAAGGCAATCACTGGAGACAGTTTTCTTTCTAGCCACCCTCACAGTCACCAGACTGGGTCAATCAATCACAACGTATGTCATGACACATGATATAGATTCAAAATGGCAGGATGACTCATGAAAAGACATTGTTATACATCTTTATAATAGAGAAATGTGTAAGTGGTGAAAAGAGTTGAGTGGGGAGTTCATTTTTTAGTCTGAGTGGGAATTTTAGAAGCAGGATCACTGCCAGGCGTCATGGGAGACTGCATATATAAATAAGTTGGTGTCATTGTGAGCACATCTCAGATAAAACTGCACCTTTCCTCTTCACTTTAGACTGTGGGAACAGACCGTTTGTAACAGGAGAGCGCTGATCATGATACTCACACTACTGCTTCATCACAGAATAAATATCAACCTGATGTAATCAGTCTACGAGCTGAAACGGGTTAATATTGCTTTGACCAAATGACCTGAGTGCATTGAGAATAGAGCAGAGACTCGTAAATCAAAATCTCTTAATGTTTTACCATAAGAGCACCCGGAGGTGATAAAAGTAGACCCCACTGCACAGGATCATCCCTCTCCTGCAGCACGAGCAGCAGATGGACAGATGACCCCTTTTTATCACTTCATGCCAGAACTGCTCTCTGTGCTCTCTTGACCAAAGTTTTAAATCAGTAAAAGTTTCAAAGTTCAGCATCAGAGCTGCATATATGTGACTCACCTGTGCCCAAGGGGAGCACTTGCATGTTTTCGAACTCCAGCGTGGTGTAGGCTGGGTCCAGAGCCTCGCTGTAGTCTGCCATGTCCATGTCTGCCAGTGCTTTGGACAAACAAATTCTCAACTACCTGACAGTGGGGCAGAAAGACTTGTCCAAGAAGCTAATGTGCCCCCCCCCCACCCCACCCCCTCCTCCTCCTCCTCCTCCTCGTCCTTCCCTTCTAACACCCCCACACACCTCCACTAACCCCCCCTTCTTTTAGAGCCTAGCTCCACCCAGTAACAAGGTGGCTCCCTGGCCCAGTTGAGTGTGATGGGAACCTATACTGGTGTCAGAGAGGAGGCCAGTAACTGACAGCAGAGCTCGCCTCCTTCTCCTCCTTCCCTCTCGTGCCGCTAACCAGCGGAGAGGTGGAGTGTCTCTGTGGTTGATGGTTAACCAGCCCCTCCAATGGTGAATCACAGGGTTGTTTTTTTTAGGAAGAGATAGCACAGCTTTGATATCTGCCACCACTTCTTGGTTCTCAGTCAGTAATGAATAAACAATTTCACCATGAGAGCTGTATCAGGTCAGCCCTTTGCCAAATCACTCCTGCACCACTTTAAACCAGTTCATTTTATAGAACGCACTTTCTGTAACATGCTGAAATCACATGCACACAAATTACGATATCCATGTTACGTTATGAAGCAGCTAAGAACAAACAAAGGTGCAGCTTGGCTTCATGTGTCTGTATGGAAGGAACACAATGCTTTTATTCAAGTACTGTACTGTATAGGGTTTTGTACTTTATTTTTTCATCTCTATTCCACAACATGTCATGCGGAAATATTGTACTTTTTACTCCACTACCTTTATCTGACAGCCATGGATGCATTATTAGACAATGGGCCCCGGGGCGCGGGCAAGTAAAAGGCCCCCTACCCCTTCTACATAGAAGCAAACTAAAACGACTTTGACATTTTGCAGATGAACCAGAAGTCTCAGCTTCTGCTTTTAGCTCAAAACCTGCAGCTGAACGACTCAGTTCACACTGGAGATGAAGAGAGGCCGTTTCAGGGGGCCACTATTCTCCATCAGAGCTGCTTGTCCGGTGGTCCAATAGCTTCAGAGATCCCCTCCCCCACACACCTTTCCTGCGTTGAGATTGGTCTGTGTCCGACAATTTCTGTAACTTTCTGCAACCGACAATCGCATATTCAATTGAAGTTGTGATTGGCCAGCTGTGCAGAGGTGAGAAAGCTTTTCACGTGAGCAACATAGTGCATAGAGATCATGATACACAGCTATTGACAATGACCATGATATTATGTGAAATACTGATATTGTGTTAATGATACACATATGACAATATGGTGATGAAATGTGTTACAGGCCTTGTGTATGTTTTGTTCATCAGTTCATCTGGTTGTCTCTTCACTTTCCCTTTAAGTGTAATAGTTCTTTTCAGTTACAGACTCTCTCTCCACCTCTCTGCAGCATTTTCTATAGATACTGCAACAGGCCTAATCTCGTTATCATGAATTCTTTTGGTAACGATAATCATGTAGTTGAAAATCTGAAATCATGACAGCCCTGCTAGTGCAATACTATGAAGGAGAGGAATTGTGCAGCACCATCGGTTTTATAACCTCTTCTTAATATCACCCCTCTCTGTGATGACAGGCCTTTCACTTGGTCTTTGAGTGTGGCCATTACACACTAAACACACACACTAAAATATTATAGGAAACCATCAAGGAAGGCCTGACATGCAGGTTATATTTTCTTACAACAAAGCTATTCTACTGTTATTTTTATATTTTATCTAATGATTGTTTCTCAGTATGCTGTGAAGATGTAATATGAAGGAAAAAACACACACAATCAAGACGTCCTGACGTTTAACTGAGATTTGTGAATTTCCAACAAAAACTGTAAACAGTCACTTCAAACAGAGGCTCATTCAGTGATCCATCTATGTTAAATTGACAGCTTTAGTTACTAGTTACTTTGCAAATTAAGATTGCATTTACTAAACATAATCAGCTTGCAACATATTGTATGATACATAATTATATATTAACCAACCCAACTGTATATAAAGTGGCTTAACAGTGTGACCAGCTGCCACATTAAAATGCTGCTTGTATGTTAGCACATCTGTAATAATAATATTTTACTTTTGATTCTTAAAGTGCATTTTGAGAACACTAAGACTGTAAATGCAGGGCTTATAACTGAGTATGTATAAACAGTGATACCACCACAGGAGACCCAGTAGTCAGATCATATCAGTCCGTTACATTCAGACTTACTTCCATGTGTAATACGACGGTGCTAAATCTTAGTTAATTCTAGCATAATTAACAGTGGAAAATAACTGTTGCTGAAGCAAAGTGATGCCTTTATGTAAAAGACTTCATTGTTTGTGAAAATGCAAGGTGCACGTGAGGTTGATCCAAAAGCTCAACACAACACAATGCAGCAGCCCCTCAGGGAGACAGCCTCCATGATCCAGGACATATTCAATAATCAATTCAGAAAAATCATAACTTGCAGAATCTGCAGTAGCAAAGAAAGTTTGTGTTCAACAGTTAAAGTGAAGTTCATGTCTGTAGTTCTTTATCACAAGCACATGTCAAAGGACTCGGAATGAGCATCTCTAAATAACGACACTTTTAAAATGTGTCGGTACAAGTAAATGTCCTGCATTTGAAATTTTACTGAAGCACAAAAGTGCAGTTCACTGAAATGTATAAGATGATAAACCGTATGTTTTGTTTGAAAAAACTTAGTCCTTATCTTGAGTAAGATTACAGCCACAAATAACAGTGTAAATCTCTAAAACATATGGGATATTAATAACCATCATTTATTCTAAATATCTACAGTACTGGCTGCCTGCAGTACCTGTACTGGGACCTACCTGTCTATGTGTACAAGAGCCTGGTGGAAAGTATCTTTTAACATGATTGTGTGGTGCAGTAACCTGAACATTGCGAGGAGGAAAACGGCGAACATGGCCTCCAAAATCTTAGGGAAGCTAAAAATACAGCTATATAATATACAACATAATAACATATACATAATATACAACCCTTCACATCCACTGTACAGTGAGTTTGAAATTTAAACCTCTGGGAACAAGATGCTAATATCATTTTTCACGTATAAAATCCAACGGGGATCAAAAAGCAGATGTGGTCTCAGTTCTTGGAGGGTTTTCACATGTTACTTTTCTAACACACTATCCTGAATCCAATTGTTTTCAAAACTAAATTCTCTGCTTGCGCAAAAGCGGCCGCCTCCTACATGTCACACAGCAAACAGTAGTCTTGTATTTGAAGAGAAAGTGCCAGTACATAACAATAGGTCAACGATCCTGAGTTCAGCCCGGCCTCAGAAGCAGTAAAAACCCCATGTAGGTGAACTTGTTAACCATACACTCAAATTATACTGGGAGGCTCATAAAATTATTTTTCTTCCAGCAGAAAACACAGTAACATTCCTGGAGGCTCCTGTGGATGATCCTGAGATGATCTGTTCAGTGATTAAATGTTGACACAAAACCCTCAAACAGAGAAAGAAATGGAAGTGATCAACCTGTGATTACAGAAACTATTTAAGCTAAACTTTTCTGACTGCCAGGAATGATTACATTTTTAGATGAATTGATCTTTGGCTCTAAATGCTGTGAAGGTCTTTAAGAACCTGATTAACTCAATAGAAACTACGCCCATGATCAAAAAATGATTAGCAGTCTTCTACAACCTCCTCTCAGTTGATCACTCCTCATCAAACGTGGCTCAGTTGGAGCGTGCTGTTTCGCTTGTGTGTACAGAGGTCATCCATTACAACATTTCTTCATGTTCGATCAGTGCTGCTCTTCTGCAATGCCCTTATTTGCTCAAGAAGTGTGCTGATTATTTCAAAGCAGTTAGCGAATGCTCAGTGGGGAGGGGAGGAGAGGGTGAGGATGGGAGAGTAATTGTGGAGCTATGAATGAGTCACTCACAGCAAATCTTATCTTCCCTGTCATTAAAGTTCTTTTATTGCTGCTTCCATCTTAAATTTCTGTGAACTTCTCAAGGAACAGTCATATACAGGACTATAAAGTATAATCTGCACAGTTACAGCTTTCTTAATCACGAACTGACAAACTGCTCTGATGTGTTAGATAGGACTGGTTAGCTTGACATTATCCCATAAATTATCTGCATTTTGATGTGGGGGGTTTGTGTTAACATGCTGTACCTACATTCCCACAGTGCACAGGCTGGATTGACACGTGCAGGAGGCTATAAAACACAGAATAAAGTTGCATCTGCACATGTTCATTCTACTGACAAATTTTGAATTTTTATACAGTCACCATTTTCATAATTCAAGACTGCAGACTGCGAAGTTCTGCTAAAGATAAAAGCTTCAGCTCCTGTTGTCATCTGGAAAAAAATGTTATGTCTAAGGTTTTAGATACAATGAAGATCTTTCTTAAAAGATTGGTTTGATGTTTATCTGTTTACTTGCCAAGTGTTAAATCAGAGGATAGACACCATTTTCGTGTCCATGCAGTAATTATGAAGCTACAGCCACCAGCTGGTTAGCTTAGCTTAGCATTAAAAAAACAGGAAACAGGGGGAACTAGCCAGGCCGGCTCTGTCCAAAGCTAAACTGACTGGCTGCAAGCTGTGGCTTCATGAAGTATTTACTTAAGTCATATTAAGTGTGAGCATTATCCATCATCTTATCAAACTCTCTGCAAGTTACAAGAGAATGTTATATGTATGGCTATGATGACTTAAGAAATTCATTTGGAGTCGTGTTTGTGTCCATCTGATGAGCGCAAATCCAATATTCACTGTATTTTACCCCTGTTTTTGGTGACTTTCAACTCCTGAGGGAAATATGTAGCTATTTAGCTGCTAAATGCTCCAGTATTTTCACCAGACAGCCACTAACGCCGCCTGTCTGCTGCTCAGTGCTGAGCAGTTACCGCAGCTGTCGACTGCTGCTGGAAATTAGGTTGATAAAAAAAAACATTGTTGGACTATTTAACCAACAATTTGACCACAATACAAGAGCCCTTAGGATTAGGACATGTTTATATTTAAAATGATTAAACACTGGTTCAGTATTTAGCAGCAGGTCATCTGTATAAATGGCATA